GGCGCGGGCGCCGGCCGCGGCATTGTCTCTGTGGCGGGGGCCGCGGAAAGTTCCCCGCCGCCCCGGCCTGGACGTGGCGCCGCCAGGCAGGCCCCAGACCACTGGCTTTCAAAGGAACCCGAGGGGCGATTCCCACCCGGGACCAGGGAAGGGGGCTGTGGGCCCGCTGCGTGTTCCGAGAGCAACAGGAAGTTTTCAAACGCAAAGAAGCAAAGTCTCCCGGCCCGGTTTTCCGTGGTTTAATGCAGCCCCCGCGCCCCGGAGCCCGCGCCCCGGCGCTCCTCACGCGGTTACTCCTGCGGCCTCCAGACGTGGTTAACTCGACCTCCGCTTTACCTCTAACCCACCGGCCAACCACTCTCTCCCACTTCTTTCTTTCCAGCCACTCGGTCAGGTTGTCTTGGCAGAATCGATTCTGGGATGACAGCCGGCCACCGACTGCTGAGTAAAGCCTTGCGATTGTGAAACACACCCGATTCAGGTTTTAGGCCGGGTTTGATCTCGGTGGCAGCCTTCCCTGCTCAGGGCTCATCTGGCTGGCAATTGGAAGACCATTGGATAGCATTAGGAAGGCTCAGGCACCCTGGAATCGTCCCCCTACTTGTTACATAGATGAGGTTCAAGGGGTGACAGGACTTGGCCGTGAGTAGTTTCCCGCCACTGCGCCTTGGACTGTGTGAGCTAATGGTTTACCAGCCATGGAGCGGGAATTGGAAATTTGTCCTCTCCCATTGTAACCTTCCCCACTTCAGGGCCTTGTCTCCTCACCTTATCTATGAGTACTCTTAAGTTTGAGATGTGCACTTATCTCAAACCTCTGTATTTTCAGATGGGAAGTGCAAAAAATTACTTTGCTGTTTCCCCTGTTTAGCTCCCAGATCCATTTGGGATTCAGCTACCAAATGGGCTTGAAATATTAAATGAATAGTTTATCATGTAGAGAATTACTTTTTTTTTTTTTTTTGTCGATCATGGGGCTTGAACTCTGGGCCTGAGCGCTGGCCCTCAGCTCTTCAGCTCAAGGCTAGCACTCTACCACTGGAGCCACAGTGCCACTTCCGGTTTCCTGGTGGGCTATTGGAGATAAGAGTTTCACAGACTTTCCTGCCCGGGCTGGCTTTGAACTGCTATCCTCAGATCCCAGCTTCCTGAGTAGCTAGGATTACAGGTGTGAGCCGCCGGTGCCCAGCTCATAGACTTACTTTTTATGTCTCTCCCCACCTATTTTTCTCCTCATGAGGGTTCTGAGTGGCTGGTTTTTCATTTGTATGTGATCATGTTAGAAAGGTTTCTTTCTTTGTTTTTTTCTTTTTACAAGTTTGCCATTTGGTGAAGGAAATTGAAATTCTCTACACCTCCCCAGTCCTTCCAAACCACAGCAAGCCAGATTTTCAAAACCAATGTGGGGCCTGCAGGCCCTGAGATGAATGCATGCCTTGGAACAAAGCCTGCTCTGTGAAGACCTTCCCCCCAGATGGTCTCTCTAAGCCATGCCCAGGTGGCTGCAGAGTAGAGGGAAGAAGGGAAGGAACCCACATTTCCTGGAACTTTCCCTCCTTTCTCACAGTCCCTTCCATCTCTCCCTTTCTTTCTCACTGCTGTGTCTGCCATGGTCATGAAAGATCTTTTCTGTGTGTGTGTGTGAAAGATTCCCTGTATAAGCAATGGTAATGGTGACAGCTTGCACTTATCGATCACTTATCGTATGCCTTAGAAGTCTCCAAGGAGAAGGAACCCCTTTGGGAGATTTGCCCAGAGAGGACAGCACTTCTCAGATTCATCTAGAGCTGAGTCACTCTTTCCTGCATTCAGTAAATATTTGCTAAGTGGCTCTGCTGTGGGAGGTGCCAGTCAGGTGTAGATAAATAGGACCCTGTTTTCAAGGCCTCATCCTTCAGTGTCAGTCTCATGCTTTTTCATTTAATTAGTCAACATAGCAACCCTGTATTGGGCACCTACTCTATGATGTCCCCAGGACACAGCGATAAGCAAACTGAGATTAGCCCCGCCCTCCTGGAGCTTGCCTTCCACTGTGGGAGACCAGGAGCAGTGAAGACGTTGGAAACTTTTTTTCTAGCAAAAGATTGTGATGGTTGATCCTATCAAAGAAAGCAACCAGAGACCAAAGAGGAGGATACAGGGACAATGTTGGTTTGTAAGACGGCCTGCAAAAGGCTGACCTGAGAAAGAAGAATGAGGCAGGCAGAGAAGGAGGGGAAGGAGGCCTTCAAAGAAGAGGGATGGGAATGTGCGAAGTCCTTGCACAGGAGAATTCTAAGTGTTCCAGGGATGGAGAACGACAGGAGAACAGTAGGGCATTGGGATAAGATGAAGCTGGTGAGTATGTCAGGGCCCAGATCACTTAGCTGTGAATTCCCCCATGCCAAGTACAAAGGAAACATGGATCAGTTCACACAGCAGTAGGATCTGATTGAGCTTTTTTGGTGTGTGTTGTTGTTGTGGTTGTGGTTTGTGTGTGTGTGTGTGTGTGTGCGCGCGCGGGTACTGAGGCTTGAACTCAGGGTCCTATACTTTTGGCTCACACGCACGCATGTATGTGTGGGTACTGAGGCTTGAACTCAGGGTCCTATACTTTTGGCTCTTGTTGTTCAAGGCTGGTGCTCTGCCAGTAAACCTACATGTCACTGCTAGTTTTTTGCTCATTAACTAGAGATAGGACTCTCAAATCTATCTGCCTGGACTGTCTTCAGACTGTGAGCCTCAGATCTCAGCCTTCTGTAACTTCCAGGCCTACAGGTATGAGCCACCAGTGCCTAGCTCCTGATTTATTTTTTTAATTTTATTAAATTGTGCCAGGCCTAAAGCTCGAACTTAGAGCCTCAAGGCTGGTGTTCTACCACTTGGAGCCATAGCTCCACTTCTGGCTTTTTGGTTGTTAAGTGGAGATAAGAGATTCAGGGACTTTCCTGCTCAGGGTTGGTTTTGGACTATGATCCTCAGCTTTCAGTCTCCTGAGTAGCTAGGATTCCTGGAGGAAGCCACTTGTGCCTGGGTGGTTGACTTTTGTTGTTGTTGTTGTCGGTTGTGGGGCTTGAACTCTGGGCCTGGACGCTGTCTCTCAGCATTTCAGCTCAAGGCAAGCACTCTGCCTACCACTTGAGCCACAGCACCACTTCCTGTTTTCTGAGTGGCTTATTGGAGATAAGACCCTCAAAAACTTTTCTGCTTGTGCTAGCTTTGAACCACAATTCTCAGATCTCAGCCTCCTGATTAGCTAGGTATACAGGCATGAGCCACCGGTGCCCCGCTGATTGATATTTTTAAGAGACTAGTTTTACTGTGGCATGAAGAGTGAATCATAGGAGCAAAGAAGATGCTGGAAGGCCACTTAGGAGGCCTTCTTGCTAATCTAGGAAAGCTGGTGATGGTTTAGACCAGGTGGAGGTGGTGATGGTGGAAAAGCAGGTGGATTCTAGTTCAAGCTTGGAGCTAGAACTGAAGCCATTTGGAGACCTGAAGCTATCTGGAAATAAATTACCTGCCAGTGATGCAGGGGAAGAATTCAAGCATGACCTACCGCTTCTCACCTCCAGGGTTCCGGTTGAGTAGTTCTGGGGATGTTGGTGTCATCTTGGGAGAGAGAAGCCTAGAAGAGGAATATGTTTGTGGAGAAAATTAAGCTCTTTGAACTGGCCATGGTAAGGCTGAGATGTCTAGGTGCATCTCCATGAAGATTCGAGGCAGTTTGGGGTTGTGAGACTGGGGAGGCAAGATTTAGGGGATGGATGTTCTTAGCTGAAGCTGAGTCACTGAAGTGCTGGCTAGCTGTGTCTTGCTCTGTTATTTTTCTGAGTAACTGCTTATGTTCCTCCTTGCCTGAGATTCTCTTCCTTTCTCCACAGCTGACTCTCATGCCTCTTTTAAAGCAAACCTGTTCCTTTACCTCCTGGAAGATACCCTGGGCGCCTATCCCAGAGCGCCTGATGTCCTTCATCATAGTGGTTTTTTTTTTTTTTTTTTTTTTTGGTATCTTACACCTATGAAAACTTTGGTGCAGCCCTTCCACAGAGAACTGTAAATGAGTATAAGATCAACATATGTTAGCCATTCTTTTACTATTATTATGCAATCTATTTAGCAATAGACATATAAATAACAATGACAGGTTAGCATGGGCCTGTAAATAAAAAAAGGTATTCTATTATGATGAGCTTAAAGATGGTATGTAACTGTTCCTATTGTGCCAGTGATACATTACCCCAAAGTGCATGTCTCACACAGCACTGACTTAACCATTGTCTGTTTCTGCAGACTGGAAATGGGTCCCCTTAGTTTAATATCAAGGAGTGATCAAGGCCGCATTCCTACCAGAAGTTCTAATCTATGTCCGTGTCTTTGCAGGCTTTTAGAGGCCACCTTCGGTCCTCATGGCCAGCAGAATCAGCCTTACTTAGTCTTCTCTTCGGTTGCCATGTTTTGGTTCTCCATTCTGGCTTCCTCTTCACCTTTAAAATCTCTATATAATTTAGGCTATATAACTACATAT